AAATTTGAAGTTGAGTCCGAAGAAATGTCACTTGTTTCGACGAGAAGTGAAGTACTTGGGACATATTGTAGCAAGTAATGGTGTTACAGCTGATCCTGAAAAACTTGCAGCAATTAAGGATTGGCCGGTACCAAGAGACAAACACGAAATTAGAAGTTTTCTTGGCCTTTGTACATATTACCGACGTTTTGTGAAAGGATTTGCCAACATCTCCAAGCCATTAACAAAGTTGACAGAAGAAGGCAAAGAATATACATGGAGCGAAGAGTGCCAAAGAGCTTTCGAACACTTACAAATGGCTCTGATCAGCGCACCGATTTTAAGCTACCCTAGACAGGCAGGAAAATTTGTGTTGGACACCGATGCAAGCAACAGTGCAATAGGAGCTGTTCTATCCCAAATCCAAGATGGGCAGGAGAAAGTCATCGCTTACTTTAGCAAAGTCTTGTCGAAACCAGAAAGAAACTATTGCGTTACCAGAAGAGAATTGCTAGGCGTAGTAAAGGCTTGCGAGCATTTTCATAAATACTTGTATGGCAGAAAGTTTCTTCTTCGCACGGATCACGCTGCTCTAAAATGGCTCCTACAATTCCGTAATCCAGAGGGCCAGATGGCAAGATGGTTAGAACGATTACAAGAATATGATTACGAGATCGAACACAGGGCTGGAAGAGTTCATTTAAATGCTGATGCGCTTTCGAGAAGGCCGTGCAGTGAACATTGTAATCACTGTCTTAAATTAGAAGAAAGACTTTGCCCCGTGAGGCGAACCACCGTTATTAATGATCAATGGCAGCCTCAACAGCTACAAGACGCACAAGCAGATGATCCATGTATAAAAAGAGTATTGGATTGGGTGCGTCGAAGTGAAAGACCTTCTTGGCAAGACATTAGTGCATGTAGTCCCGAAGTCAAGTGTTACTGGAGCCAATGGAATTGCCTAGTGCTGAAAGATGATCTTCTGTATAGAACCTTTGAGAACGATGATGGTACAGAAACTAAGCTTCAGTTGATTGTACCTAAAAGTAAAGTGTCAGAAGTATTGCGTCAGTTGCATGACGGTGCATCAGGTGGACACTTTGGTATTACGAAGACTCTGCAAAAGGTTCGAGAACGGTTCTATTGGGTGAACTGTAAAGATGATGTAAGAAGATGGTGTCGGAAATGTGAACTGTGTGCAACTAGTAATGGTCCAGTTGGTAAAAAGAGGGCACCCATGAAACAGTACAATGTTGGTAGTCCTATGGAGAGAGTAGCAATCGACATTGCAGGTCCACTTCCAGAGACGAATAATGGAAATAAATATATCCTGGTAGCCATGGATTATTTTACGAAATGGACTGAGGCCTATGCGATACCAAATCAAGAAGCTGCTACCGTTGCAGAGGTACTTGTTAAAGAATTCTTTAGCCGATTTGGTGTTCCCTTGGAGATCCACTCCGACCAAGGGCGAAACTTCGAGTCAAACCTTTTCCAAAACGTTTGTAAATTGATTGGTGTCAATAAGACCAGAACGACACCCCTGCATCCTCAATCAGATGGAATGGTCGAGAGAATGAACCGAACGATGGGTAAACACCTGTCCAAAGTTGTATCAGAACATCAAAGAGATTGGGACCAGCACATTCATTTATTCCTAATGGCTTACCGCTCGGCCGTGAATGAAACTACCGGCCAGACTCCAACCTGCCTGATGTTAGGTCGTGAAGTTCGTTTGCCCTGCGACCTAGAGTTTGGCTCCAGACCTTCCGAAGAACATGTTGCAAGCGAAGATTATGTCGACCGCCTAAAGTTAAGAATGAACAACATTCATGAACTTGCCCGACAACACATCCAGTTAGCCAGTGACAGAATGAAAGATCAATATGATTCTCGATGCAAAAATGAAAGCTATAAAGTAGGTGATCTTGTTTGGCTTTATAATCCACAACGTCGTCGTGGCTTGTCTCCTAAACTGCAAAGACAATGGGAGGGTCCGTATGAAATTAAAAAGAGAATAAATGACGTAATATACCGAATTAAGAAGTTGCCGAAAGGTAAACCTAAAGTAGTTCACATAAATCGTCTTGCACCTTATGCTGGCTCAAATGAAACCGAAGAAGTCCGAACCCTTCTGAATAAGATCAAAGATGATCGGCGACCAAGCTTTAAGGAGTTTATGTCAAATTACGCAGAGAGAAAGAGTGCTAGATTCAGCGTGACGACAGAAGTTCAGCAGGATCTTTTTAGTGTACCGCATAACGTCTCTCTAGCCCACTGTGTTGCCCAAGATCTTGAGATGACTAAAGGAATCTCATCTGTATTTTATAAGAAGTTCGGTCGTTTGGACGAGTTAAAAAACCAGCAGCCTAAAGTTGGAAGAGTACTGAGATTAGAAGATGGTTCTCGATCTTTGCTGTATATGGTGACCAGGAAGTCGTATACAGACAGAGCAACCTACGAGGATATATGGTGTGCTCTAACTAATTTGAAGAAAATCGTCTGCAATTACGACATTAAGAATTTGGCCTTACCCAAGATAGGCCATGCACTAGATAATCTGGATTGGAAGATTGTCAGAAGCATGCTAGAAGTGATCTTCCGAGAAACCGGTGTAAGAATTACCGTGTGTTGCACTAATCCAAAGAGATTGTGTCCTTCAAAGACAGTAGACTGTTATTTCTTTCTGAGGGGTTCATGCAGAGCTGGAGAGTCCTGTAGATTCCGCCATCCTGTGCCTACATATAGAGTTGCTGATCGGGACGCTCAGATCTAAGAGGGGAGCAGTGTTACGAACGTGCATTTATGCACGTGCACTTCATGCTTCCATGCGGCGCGGCGGCATCTCGAAAGCGACTCGATATTTCGAGAAAGATCAGTCGCGTTCGCCTAGAGGTGGGAACTTTCTAGAAAATAGTAACTTTAGTATATATATGTACGATCTTAGGAATAAGTTTAGTTTATAAGATAGTATCGAACTGTAAAGTTATAAATAAATATATTTATATAAATTCGAACCGCTCGTTTTATTTAAAAACGGTACAGTACCTATACCTATCCATCTTTCAGACCTAGATATAAAAACTAGAACAGGGTTCCAGAATCCAGGAATATGTAATAGGTAGATTAAACAACAATTTATTCTACATAAAAAAGGTGACAAAATTCAAAACTTAAATCACATTTACCAACGTTTCCAAAGTGCTGGTCACGTTACTCATTCAAATAGGTATGTGGAAATAGGTATAATACAACAGCAAAATGTGACATCTTCTTCTTCACTTGCCATATTAGAGTTCTCCGACGTTGGCAATCACCATTGCGAAGGCTTCTCGATCTTCTACCACATGGAATATTGAATAATTGTCCTGCATTCGATATCTGATTTGACTACCGTTACGATGAACACAGAGAAATTTAAGATAAAATGAAAAAGTCAAGGTTGTTGCGTTCTGCACATACGATGACCTCAATATAACAATTGGGATCATCCTGAAGGGGGAGAGAAAATATTATGTTCAATCTAGAACTCGCTGGTTTCCCCTTTCGGATTGGATATGTATATTAAAATAAAGAAAAGAAATGAAAGCTAGCGGACTGTATAAAACTCTATTTAAAAAAGCAATGAAATGAAAACATAAATATACATAACCAAATGTACAATTAACTGAACAAGATTTTATACACAAACTTAATTATTAGTTAATATGAAACAACACCAAAAAACAATCATAACCAAAACAAAACAAAAATGTCGATGAATAGGTTTTAAGAACACATTAACAACAAAGAAATTAAAAATTTGGATTGCTACGGTTGAGTATGATTAGAAATAACGCATAAATTGATATTAGACGTTAACGAGTTAACGCTTCTCCTTCGCTTCAATGCGAGAGATGTCAGTTCAAATCCCCAGCTCGGTGTACAGAAAACAAAAAGGCTAACGCATAACGCACTAACGAGATAAGGGCTTGCGGCTCCCTAAATACCGGCTATATATATATATATATATATATATATATATATATATATATATATATATATATATATATAATATTATATATATATATATATATATATATATATATATATATATATATATAATATATATATATATATATAATACATACTTAATCCGTGGCAAAATGAAGAAATCTTGTCGATAAAAGTTACACACAATGCAATGAGATATAACATATTTATATGAATTATATTTAACGTAATACAAACATTAATACAAAACATACATGAACTGTAATCGGTGTTAGCAGAATACAATATAGAATACAGTAAATACGATAAAATAAATGTTTATGTATACGTAAAATGTTCTTTTAACAATGTTCTATCGCGATCGCGGCACAAATGGTCTAATTGTTCTAAAAAAATAAGTAAATCTATATACCAAGTAACGTGTTTGATATATGCAGCAACATAGATAAATGGTGTATTGTACTTTACTCCATAAAAAGATAGCATCCCGGCTATCGCAAACGTTTTCAGCAACGTATATACAGGAACCACAAATTTGACGTCTTTCTCGGCCAAAAGATCGATGCGGAGTCTTTTCAGGTACTCTTAACCCACACACACGCACATCTGTGCTATTTGAAAGATGAAACTCGACTCTGATTTTGTAGATGGAATTCAAATCCTTAACTTATACACACACGTGTGGTGATAATTCGCAGATGCCTCGTTCCTTTAAATTAGTTCTTAAAACAGCTGTAATTTTTCGTATAGGTAAATCTCAGTTTAAATATACGAGGAAAATCGAAACTATCAAAAATTCTGTTGTTTTTTACAAATGTTTATATACAGTTGCGAAACTGCAACAAAGGTTACTCAAAAATAGATTTAACTAATTTTTTATTGTTTTACGAAAATATTAAGATAAGATGTAATTTGTAAAAGAAGGGGTTTAAAATAAATCATTTCATTAATTATATTTTTTAAAGTTGGCGTAAAATATTTTTAAATAAAAATATACTTTGATACAATGGAAGCCACCCTCTACTTTTGCGTCATCTGTTGTTTAGTTAGCACAATCACAAAAATTAAAATAGTTTTTTATAATAATATAACAAACCATAATATTTACTATATAATATGATAATTTGTTGTATATTCTCAAAATATTCCCAGTTTTATTTATCACAGTTTCTCTGTTCTCTTGGAATTTTTATTAGGAATTTAAGTGAGACTTTATTTTTAGTATTTCATGTTCGCAGGCTGACAGTGACATTTTAACAACATAACCTCAACTATCCGGTAAGTTATTTATATTTATTTTAAAATTAAGGAAATTAATTTTATCATTGCATATTTTATCTATTTAAAGTATTCTAATATGGAAAGATAATGCACCAGGAATTTTAAATATGTTTCATCGATTGAAGCGAGGTAGATATGTGAAGTTATGTTATCGTAATACTATCTTGAAATCAAATTTATCATAAATAAATAATTACCTTATAAACAATATTTTTCCATTTGGCAATAAAAATTAAATTCTTTTATATGTTATTACACCATTCAAAAAGTTTTCATTGGTTGTTACTTGGATATAATAGAAATTTATTGCCGTGCCTATTAATTATCAGGTAAATATAAAGTGAAGTAAATGTGTTTAGACAAATATTTTCGAAATATCTGACAATGTATTCTGAGATTATTTTATTATTTATCACTGCCAAACGGGTTAATGATTATTTTTTACTTTAAACATAAGTAGGGCAGTCAATCACCTTAGAGTAAATTGGGTCAATTTCATTCAAACCATAAGTTGTGAATAGATGTTTATTTTCTATTATACAAACTATTTTAAAAAGTACTTCAGTTTGATTAATTAGTTTGATAAACACTTAAATTGCATATAAAGCTTAAGTGAAAAGGTTTTTGTAATAAAATAAAAATATAAAATATATTTTAATTTATTCTTTATATAAATAAAATACAACACAAACCTATATATTTCTAAATAATACAACATAAACTTATATTATAATATTTCTTTATTATAATATTTATTACATATGTACAGATTATTGAGTTTTCAAAACCATACTTATACCTTGGCCCTCTAGAAATACTATTTTGGTTAATGAAATAAACTAATAATCTGAAAAATATAAAATGTAGTTCATTCTTTAGTTTCTTTTATATATTATGTCTTTTTAAGTATTGATTACTGTGTAATATTAATTTACCTAGTTTTTTGTTTTATTTATTGGAAAATCTATTCGGTTATGAGCTTGACATGTGGATAATAACACTTAATGTTTTTGCGTTCCATTAATTTACCTCACAATGTAAGCCTAATTCCATTTCTTTTATTTGTAGCTGTTGTGTACTACCTTTGGTACACAGTTATACATTGCATTTATCTGCTATAAAATCTTGTGGCCATAGCTCAGTGTATTAAGATACTGGCCCTCTAAGCCAGAGAGCCCGAGGTTGATACTCTATTCCAATAACACCATTTTCATTTCTACAAATAGAAGTCCAACCACTAAATTATTATTTAGTTAGAAGTTATTCGGGATTCTCTCTTGTGCAACTTTACTTGCTCCGATTTTTAAACTTTAAAGCCTGGCAATAGTATTTCATGAACAGTTTATTGCAGGTAATACTATATCATTGCATTTGTTATTAAATAATCAATTCTTTATTTTGTTATGTATTGCTTTGGTCAACAGATCGGAGCAGTCACCTATATTTGCTTACCTGTTTACACATGCTGGCCTGTTAGCCATTAACTTAAACACATACAGTAAACAGGCAATATATCATAGACCTATTTTATATGTTTTAAACTTCTAGTTTCAATAACATTTGTTTGGTAAACAAATGGTTGAAACTTGCTAATAGAAGTTAATTAAAATTTTTTTTTTATTAAGGATAGCTATGAACATATGTTGATAAGCAATACATGCAAGACAAGGTCCATTTATGAAATTTGATAAAACAATATTTCATTTGGGAAACAGATAGGCCAAGATGAAGGTCAACCCAAATTTGAAACCCATGCTAAAAGTAATGGTAAACTACAGATGGACAACACATAAAAATGGTGGAAATTAGTGATATAGATGACATGTTAAAAACAGAAATAAAATTTAGACAGCCTCAAGCAGCCTCCTCCTCCTCAGTCCTAATCCCTTTTGGGATGTGGTGACACCATCAGTTGTTCACAGTTTTTTCACGATTTCCCTCCGTCCTTCTCTGTCCTGGGCTAGTTGTTCGGCTTCATGTAATTGTGAAGCAGCAGTCAACACAATTCCTGTATAAACTTTGTTTGGCTACAAAACTGCGGGACATAGTGCATGAAGGACAACAGATAGAAATGAAGTATGAAACAATTGAATTTATCAAGTGGTAAAAGAAGCTATAGGAAATAAAGAGTTCAAAGTGACAATCCAGAATGGTGGTCAGAAGAAACAAAAGAATTAGTAGAGAGAAAAAACAAGAGGCTTACTAGCATAGCTTGATAGCAAAAAGAAAAAATGAAAAAACTGGGAGGACAAATGTGGTCAGATAGGGAATAGTGAAAAATGGTAAGATCAATAGAAGAAGTGGAGAAGATAACGGTAGATAAGATTAAAGTTATATCAAGAGAAATGAAAAATGGCAAATGTCTGAGGCCAGGAATATTCTCATTGAGCTGGTAAAATATGAAGCAGACATTTTACTTGAACTGTTAACAGATTTATTTAATGGCTGTTTGATTAAGGGCAACAGTATCCTATCAGACTGGAACGAATCATATAAGATCGATCAACAAAAAAGGTGACAGAAAGATTTGAGAGAACTACAGACGATTTTCCGTCACATTGAATAGGAAGATTATAAGGCAAAATAATAAAGAATAGAATTTAATCTATTCAAGGATAGAGGAACATGAGGAAATAAAGGAACAATATGATTTCCGGGCAGAAAGATCGTGCATGGATAATATTTAAGGATAATAAGAAGCAAAAAGCACAATAAAGACGGGCCAAAAAGTTTCGAAACCGTTTAAGGTGGCAAAGGGCCTTAAGCCGGGGTTTTGCTGATCGCATATCCTATTCAAAATATACATGGAAGAGGATTGGAAAGCTGGAGAAGAAAGTGTGCAGGAATGGGGATATATATATTGAAGATAGCTGCTTGACAAAAAGGTATTTTTTGCAGATGACCAGGTTATTCTCGCCAACTGTTAAGAAAATATTGATTACATGCTACGAAAGCTCAAAGAAGAGTATAAACTTTGGAGTTTGAATATAAACGTACAAAAAACAGAGTCTCTGAGAATTGGGGAAGAACAAGGGGACCCAACATCAGAAAGAGACATAGATTACAGCAAGGACGGATATGCACAAGAATTCTCAATTCAGTTCCTTGAAATCCGCATTGGTTGGGGTGTATATTTTCAAATAATTTATCACGTTCTTAAAATGCATCTAATATGTAAAATGAAATTAATTTTATATTCACGGTAATAAAGTTTCAAAAGCAGAATTAAAACCTACTTGTATACCTACTTCCATTTTAATTTGTGTAATTTCTATAATAAAATTTATTTTTTATGACTTATTATTTTAATTTTTTAATTAAACATTGTTAGTGATGAAACGGCAGTGTCAAATTCAGTTTGATACATCCTAAGTCATGCTCTGGTATATGATTTTTATGCTTAAACACAATATTTTGGCATGTGTTTTTTTAATAATTTACAGTAAGTTGTACTTATCAAAAAATTTTTGGTTAAAAGAGTCTAATAATCTTATTCACAAAGTCTATTTTAAAAAGTTATTTTAATTGTTTATAAACAAAAAAATTGCAACGTTTTTACAAGTAAGTTTTGTAATGTTAAAAATGGTTGTTTCTCATTTGTTTTAAATTCATTCTGAAGAAGTATTCTTGTTTAACTCGGAGTTAAAATTTTTCCAACTTTCTTTAGGTATTGTTTTTAATTTTTTTTTTCACTTTTTGCCTTGATATGTTGACATTTCAAGTAATTGTCAAAGTTAGGGTTTTGTTTATATTTTGAAAGTGCTTCTTTACTCTCTTTTATAAAGCCGTTACAATTTGTATTCACCGAGGCGTAAAATTTTGAATTTTGCATTTAAAAGCTTTATATTGTACAAATTGTCAGTTAAACTGCATAATTTATATAATCAATCAAAAAATTATATTTCTCTGACGTATTTTCCATTTGGTGATAGTTATTGAAAGATTGTTCCGCTGAGTCTTCGTACACGGACCAATTAGCCTTCCTTATATTCCATTTACTTTTCGTGATAATTTCTTCAGATTAATGTTTTTAATCTATATATATGTATATATATATATATATATATATATATATATATATATATATAGATAATAAAATTACTAGATTCCAGAGTATCTAGATATATAGACCAATTAATTTTATTGACTAAATCTTTGGTAAGAAATGTAACATTGATAGCAGATTTATTTTGATCTGATTGGGTTAAAATATTAGGTGCTTAATTTTTAATTGCTATAAAATTTAGATCATCTATAGTCTATAGCTTTAATAAGTTGTGTTCCAATTGCATCATTATAACTAGATCCCCAAATTGTATGATGATCATTGAAATCTCCACCTATAATTAATGGGCCTTTGATCTATGAGAATATGTTTGTCCAACCATTTACTGTGCTTTTACATTTAGGATGTTTGTATATAGATAGAAACCTCAGTTAAATTGTTTTAAATTTAGTTTTAATGCCACAGAGTTCTATTTCGGTATTGATGTTATAATTTAGTTTTAGTTCACTGAAGGTAATTGTACTGCGAATGACAATAGCTACACCTCCGTAGGTATCGTTTCTATATCTTCTAATAAGATTCTATCTCTTCTAACCATTAAAAGAATATTGAGAGTCTTTTTTTAACCTCGTTTCACTACCTCGTAGAATATCGTTTGTTTTTAAAATGCATTTATTTAATATAAAAGATCCAGCATTCCACTGACGTTAGGAGCTGCTAGTGTTTATTGCATCGAATTAGAATCTAGATTCTAACTCGATCGTTTATTTTTTCTAAAACGTCATACAACAAACACAAGGTATGATCACAGAATAATAAACAATTAGAAATCCCACTCTCAGATGCCGCCTTTTTTTAGAAGGAAGGAAGGAAGTTTTTTAGAAGGAAACACAGACTCGGAAGGTGTACGAGCAGGAGTTGATGAAAACCTATTGAGAAGCTTTTTTGAAAATCTGGCAGTATAGTTAGACGACGTATTGTCAAGAGAGGTTGCCAGTATCCAGAACTAATTAGAAACGCTTCAAGGATATCTGTGTCCATTATGTTCTGTCTGTGGAAATAGCAAAGATGAACTTCTACCCTATGTTGTTTACCGGGCTGCTAAAATGTGGACTACTTGGGCTGAGAATGGAGCAAGAGGATGCCGTTACAAAGCTAGCAACTCAAGATAGTTCGATGCAAATATTTTATCAGATTAGCTTGAATTACAGTTGGTACCAAGGTATAGGAAGCTGATTGGTAAAAAGGTATTACTATGCGACAACCTCTCTTCACATATTACATTACTAACACTTCAACTCTGTCGTGAAAACGACATTCTTTTAATTTTTCTGCCTCCAAACTGCAATGGAAAAGTACTGAAAATGGCATTCGCAACACTAATATACAAAAGCAACACTTTCCTTCATTGTTGTCAAAGGTGATGGATTTGCTTGGTTCACAAAGCAAATCTACATAATTTCGAGGAAGGGTTTCGAAAATGCGGAATATTTCCTCTGAATGTTGAAAAAGTGCTCATCCGAATACCACGAAAATGTGACCCAAGCTTCGATTTGACAAAAATTGTTAACCACCGTAGAAAAAAATTAGTGTTCCAGCTAGAAAAAGTGTTTGTGCAGTCAACGATCCAGATATGGAAGAACCTAAAACCTCTGGCGTGAATACCAATAAGCAACCAATAACTCCTGACGAATCTTCGGATGAGGAATCAAATATTATTTGCTTTAGACTAAAGAAATGGTATTTGATGACAATTAATCGGACGATGTAGACTTTTAAGAACTTGCCAGGGAGAAAGAAGTTGAAAATGAATCTGTAAATCTTTTAGAAGACAAAGAAAACAAACAATAATTTTGAAAGTGTTGTTCGAGAAGTTGGACGGTTTGTAGTGTTTTCTTACGAAAGCCTCCTATACCCCGGGCGCATTATGGCTTTTGATGATAAACTGTAACCATTAGCGCAATGATCTCTCAAACTGTGGAAGTGGTCTTCAAAAAAGGATAAAGTGACTTACCTAATGTACTAGGCTATATTAATACTCCAAAGTTTCTAAAAGGGGAACTTTTACGATGTCTGAATTAAGTTCACGTTATCATTAACATTTATTATTGTTTATTATTTTCAAATCAATAACGCTGCCTTCTTTTTTAGTCTTTTTTGCACAAATAAAAATACCATACAATTATTACATTATATTGATATAAGGTTGAATGCTCGAATAAATGAACTTTGATAATATAAAAGGCAAATATCAAGCACAGTTTAATTAATTTAAACTTGCCCAAGTACTTTCGATCCCTAGATCATCTTCAGGGGCATTTCGTCAATTGCGGCCTATCCGACAAGAATAACATGGTATAAACATAAAATGGTACATCACACTACACTACACAAGGACAAACAAACACTTTAAAATTTTTGAAAAATAGACGAAGCTACATTGTGTACAGAAGCCTGAGACAGAATGAATCATAAAGGAAAATAAAGGAATAAACGAACTAAGAAAAACAACTAAATGCATGATCATGACTAAATCAGCAGATGGAACCGTCCAATTGATTGTTGAGGATACTGTAATTGAGAGTGTGGATACCTACAAATACTTAAGAACATAGATAACGTCAAATATAGACCAAACCAAAGAAATTAAGACACGTATTGAAATAGCACGTGAATCATTCGTTAAACCTAAAAAGTTTTTTTGTTGTCGGAATATAAGGTTAGGACTGCTCCTAAGAATGTGTTACGTATTTACTACTCTTCTTTATGGCTTGGAAGCATGGCCATTAAAACAAGTGCATCTAAACAAGTTGGCCGTCTTTGAATGTTAGTGTTACACAAGAATCATACGAATATCATGGACTCAAAGAATGTCAAATGCAGAAGTTACTTTAAGAATAGGAAATGAAGCTAAAATAATATTGACTATCAAAAGAAGAAAACTTAAGTACTTAGTCCATGTTATGGGAAGGCAAAGTACTCATTATTGCAGCTTGTTACGCTAGGCAAAATCTGAGCAAAGCGAAATGTGGGAAGATGCAGAATATCGTGGTTTAAGAACATGGTTTGAATGAAGTAGTGCAGAACTATTTAGAGCGGCAGTCAATAGGGTCCGCATAGCCATAATGGTTTCTAACCTTCGATAGATGATGGAACTTGAAGAAGAAGAATAAATTAATGTTAATAAAACGGGAATAATATAATTAAAATTTAATACTAATGCCTATTTATGTATATTTTATTATAAAATAAATATTTTATCTATTGCTGAAATATCAGTGACTCCCATGCACTAATTGTGCAGTTGCTTGAATGGAATTTCGGCTATTGGTGCCTTTAGTTTAAGATTATAAAGAAATCCGTTCTAACTATAGTTATTTATATTAAAGAACTTATTACATGTCATGGTTGCATTCCAAAACAAACTTCAGATACATCAACGTTTCAGAACTGATTTAGCCAAATTTAGCCTAAACAAAGAAAAAAACTAAAGATGGAGAAAAATATCAAGCGTCGGTTTCTAAGTCTTCTCAGTCAACTTCGAAATAAGGAAACGAACAAGATACTTTTAATGAAGACTTGTGCTGTGCATTAATCTCTTTTAATATACTTCTTTTAAATTTATCCAATTAAAACTTAACTTCTTTAAAAAAATATTGTAAATTGAATATTCCAAGTGAATTCCGAATTACTGATAGAATTACAAATAAAGAAGTACTGGAGAGGGTTGGTAAAGAAACAGAAATCAATAGAATGATGCATGGTGTTGATTTACTCTGAGAAATAAGCACCGACATAGAATTTTGTGTCTCTATACGTATTAGAAAAAAATACGGCACTGAAGAACTACACATACATATTTCAATTTATATTTAATGTAACTTATTTTCTTCTCCTCGTATATAGTAAATTATTGTAAAAACTTTAAAAAGTCGTTTAACTTCTTACCTGACCTTTTTATTATTTTTAATGACGCCCGTTGTATGTACTTGCAAGATAATAGAACTTTATCATAAGCTCTATAATACATAAGTCTGTATAATATTGCTATCTGTTTGACAGTACTGTGTGAGGAGCTGACATGATATTTATTTTTTTACTATCTCACAAATTAGTAGTATGTCTTGTTATAGCGGTGGTGGCCCTTGGTCTCTCGACTACAATTCTTTCAATAGAAAATAAAAGTTTGAGGCTAACAATACGAAGATTAAAAATGGAAAAAAACAATTGTGATAATAAAGACAATTTAGTAAAGTTCAGATTACCGGACACTGTGAAGCCTTTGCTATATGATCTGTATCTTTATCCAGATCTAAAGACCGGACTATTTCGAGGTAAGTTTCTGTACACTGTTTTATATGTGTGAACTCTTAAGACCAAGGACATATAAAATGTTTTCTTTCTTAGACGGTATTTTACACGGTTAAGTTATATTAGAAACAAAATGTAGGTATATTTTATAAACTAATTCATTCGTGTACAATTGTTGGACAAAAATTCATGGATTTTGGTTCTTTTAAGTGTTGTTTGTTACATTTAGCTTAAAACAAGTCGGTCTATCAGCTGTATACATTTTTTTGAGACTTTGTAAAAAATACATTATATTTTTGGCTATTACTTTGTTATTGCTTGACTTATCAGACAAAGCGAAAGCTCGGGTTTCTTCCGAAAAATATTCCCATGAGATCTTTTTACATAGGTAACCACTTTGTTTAATTTTTTTAAACAAATTGTAACAAATAATTTTTTCGACCCAGACAATTTTTTTTTATTTTTTGGATCATTCTGAACAAAATAAGTATCTTATAAGTAGTTTTTATGTTAACTTGATCGTTTTCGGGGTATGAATAACTTAAAACTGAGAAAAACGCAAAATTACTATTTTCAAGGCTCAAAAACACAGGGCCATTCTTACCCATAATCTTGACCTGTAGAATCAACTGTAGAAGTCGGTATTTATCATTACGCATGATGTGGCCAAAGTAAGTCAATATTCTGATTTTTAGAGTGTTAATAATTTCTTTGTCTTTTCTTAGTCTCTGGAGAATAGTTATGCTCCTTGTGTGGTGTATATATGAGACCCTCCACATACGTCGGTAGCACCACATTTCAAATGCTTCCAATCGTTTATGGCATCTTATGTAAGGCTCCAGCTTTTTGCTCCATAGAGGAGGATACTAAAGACGTAACATCTAAGAATTCTTATGCGTATGTTGATACTTAAAGATAAGTTGCAGATAATCTTCCTAAGGCTGTTGAAAGAGCTCCTGGCTTTTCAATACGAGTTTTTATTTAGTAGCTGTGATCCCAAGTATCCTTAATATTGCAGCCCAAATAGCATATTTTTTCCACTATTTCTAACGGTGTATCGTTAATTGTCTATCTATTAAACATTATTTTTGTCTTCTTGCAATTTAGTTTTAGTCCGTATTTGTTACATGCTTCTACAACGTTATCCATCATTCTTTGGAGCTCTTGCGCTCTATCTGCAAGCAACACTGTATCGTCTGCATATCTAATGTTGTTTATAAGTTAAACATTTACAGCAATCCCATCTTCTGATTCGTCCAAGTCCTCTCTAAAGATGTTTTCAGAGTATATGTTAAATAATGCTGGTGACAATATGCAACCCTTTCTAACTCATTTTTCGACTGTGAAAATCTCGGACAGTTCATTTTCTAATCGTACTGTTGCTGTTTGTTGGAGATATAAGTTTAAGATCAGTCTTATATCCTTACCATCAAGTCCTGATGTTTTTAGGATATCGATTAATTTCCCATGTGGGACTTTATCAAATGCCTTCTCGAAATCAATGAAACATGCATACATATCGCAGTTGACATCCCTGGCTCTCTAGATTAAAACTGACAAACTAAAATGTGCTTCCATCGTTTCAAATCCTGCTCTGAATCCAAATTGAATTTCACTCAGGTTTTCTTCTAATTTGGTGTACATGCGCGAGTAAATGATAGTAAGGAGTACTTTAAGTACATGGCTCATCCAACTAATTAATCTATCTTCTTCACATTTCTAGCATTGGCTTTTTTAAGAAGTGGAATGAATATTGATAGTATCCAGTCTTGGTAAGTAAACAGTCTCGTAGATGTTGTTGAATAGCTTCGTAAGAGCTGTGATTTGGTGTGCCTTTAATAGCTTTAAAATTTCACCATGCAGCTCATCATGTCCTGGTGATTTGCCATCTTTAATCCATTTAATGGCCATAGTTACTTCTTCATTTGTTATTTCTGGGCCGTAGGGATTGTTAATTTCAGTCGTATTTCGTGCTGCATCTTCGAATAACTCTTGCATATATTCTTTCTATCTTCGTAATTTATCTTCAATGGTAGTCAAAATTTGGCCTTCAATGTCTACAACTATGCCTGTATTGCATTGTTTTCTGGTATTCTGTACCTCTTTAATTTTTTTGTGTATATGGAAATCGTCATGTTTTCGTTGTAGTGTTTCAACTTCTATACATTCTTCCGTCGGCCGTTCTTCTTTTGCCTCTTTTATCTCCTTTAGTATAGTCTTATGGAACTTTTTGTATTCGTTGTCATTTCTACCTTTTAATTTTCTTCGCTCTTCATCTGTCATCCATTCTTGCTTCTTTTCTCTTTTTGATTTTAGATATTCATGTGAAATTGTGGTAATAGATGTTTTCATTTCGTTCCACTGTTCTTCTATGCCTCTAGTAGTGTCTTTAACTATCTTCGCAAAATTCTTATTAATTTCTGTTTTTTCTGGGTGTCATTTTCTTTTAGTAGTCTTATATCTGTATTGGGCCTCACTTTATCCAATAGACTATGGTCTGAGAAGACATCTGCGCCTGGATATGTTTTTGTTGAGGTCATAGAATTTCTGAACCTTTTGTTTATGTCGATAAAATCAATTTGGTTTCTTATAATTTTTCCTGGGGTATCACCGGGTGCTTTTCATCTATAAAGTCTTTTTGGATGTAATTTACAAAGTGTATTGGTTGCAACCATATCCGGCTCTTTGCAGAATTGGATTAGTCTTTCTCCTCTTTCGTTTCTTATGCCAAGACCATATGATCCCACGACATTATCGACTGTACTTTGTTCTATTTTGGCATTGAAATCGCCCATAATAATAGTAAGTTCATGTTTTTTGATCAGTTTTAGAGAGTCTTCTAGATCTGATAGAAATTTTCTATTTCTTCTTCAGTGCATTCTGATGTCGGTGCGTAGACCTGAATGATGTTTATATTAGAGGAACTTGAGTTAATTTTTAATAGCATAACTGTGTCTGATATGGACGTAAATCCTATTACTGCTTTAGATATTTCCCTTTTTATTATTATCGCTACGCCATTTATGTTTCTTATTGTGTCGTCTCCAGAATAATAGATATGGTGTTCATCTATAATTCTTATTCCAGAATTTGGCCATCGTACTTCACTGCATCCTAAAATATCTAGGTTCATGTGAGCAATTTCTTGAATAGTATATGCTGCTTTGCTGCTCGGTACATGTTTTGAATGTTCCACGTACCGATCCTTTTAACTTTTGGGACATTATTGGCTGACCGGGAGATTTTTAGCACCCTCTTTTTACTTAAGGGGTGTCCGGGACACTAAATGTGGTAGTTATCCCGTGGCTTTCCATATCTCAATGCCGTTAGCTAATTTAGCTCTTCCAGTCTTCTAGTCAAGTTCTTAGCTCTAGGGCAACGAAGTGCCCTGCCACATGTCAGTTCTTCCACTCCTAGCGGTTGTTCAACAAGTGGGTGATTACTTTTACCGGCAATCTTTCGGTTACTTCGCAGTATCATAACTGGTTAAATCATATTTACCGCCTGTGATTATTTAGTATCAGACCGGTAAAGAGATTTTTCTCTACCGCTCCGATCCTGTAATGACATAGCTGCTGCCCTATGCCATGCTCTCAGTTGATCCACGGGTGTTTATTTGGCAAAGCCTTATTCACACCTGTCCCACATATCTGTAGGGCGTTCCCTATCAGCCATTGGAACGCGCCGTGTTGAGGTTGAGAACTACCCCTCCGAGTGTGTTTTCTGAGAAGTACTGAAGAGCCCCTACTCTATTCAGAACCCCTCCTTCTTGGAAACTACACCGGCACTTTGTTCAGCTATGAACAAAGTACATAGCTGAAGTTAGTAAGAAATATGAAGTAAAAATTAATACAAAATAAACAAAAGTCATAATAATTAGCGGAGCAAGACTTGGAGAAGTACAATTTACCATCAGTGAGAAAAGAGAAAATGGTAGACCGAGTGTCAACATACAGGCATCTGGGTACCGTATTAAATGGACAGTGGGATCATTCCCGGGAAATAAAATCAAGAATTGCAAAAGCCAGAGCAGATTTCATCCAAATGTCCAAATTATTATAACATGTATAAATACTTAATTTGAAACTGAAACTGATACGATGAATACGATGCTCCATATTCTCCATCTTGTTATATAGTGTAGAGACTTGCACCTTAACTGAGGCAATAATAAGGAGGTTGAAAGCCTTCGAGATGTGGACTTATAAAAGAATTCTTAAGTGGAATTCTTTTCTTAGAAAAGTGGAACATTTGGGACACATGATGAGAAATGAAACCAAATATAAATTATTAAAATGCATTTTCAAGGAAAAAGTCAGGGTAAGTCAGAATGGTTGGCAATAATCGATAACGGATAGGTACTAGAAGAGGAAGAATTGAACACAAAGGATCAGATTAACAATGATTTGCTCAACAATGAAAATATGAGCTTCCACAACTTCAATAATTTCTTTCGTTATTGGACACTATCTCGGTCTTTTTTATTTTTCGAATATTCTGTGAAAAACATGACAAAATAAATATGAACACAAAGTTCTTATGTGTTTGAAAGATTCACTATAATATTAGTTTCTCAATAAGATCGCATAGTTTATAGGTGCATCATATTGCGATTATGCACATTATATTATTTTTTGCCTCCTTGTATAGAGACAGACCACATTAATTATTTTTGCAAATGTGTTATGTGTTGAATATTTACGTTTCCATATTTACTTTTGAATGTTGACACTCAAATAATACTTAAAATGTTATCTGTTAAAATTTTTTACTATTTATCGCTGTAATATACATTTTTTATGCAAAACGGTAAAGAATGAATTTATGGTAAAGATGCTAGGGACGATAGCGATCAGAAAATTGCAGTAATTTAAATGACAAACTTATTTCCGGTGTTGAATTATTTGTTCAACTAATTATTATTTATTTAAACGTCAAATATAAAGTTTTGTTAGTTAAAATTGTGGTTTCTTCCCATACAATATAGTAGTTAGTATAAAAGCTACAAGAAAATAGTTTCAGTTGAGGTTTTAGTATACTTTCAAACAAACACATAATTTTAAATAAGGCTGTAGATCAAGGGTTTCCAAATTGAGGGGCACGCCCCCACTGCGGTCGTGAGGATGTCAGATGAGGCGCGAGACAAGTTGAAGATTAAATTAAATTTAGGTAGTCTGTCTAAAATTTTAAATTAACCATGATGTTTAGAAAATTAAAACAAACCACTCTAACTTTATTAATAAACTTGAAATTGAAAGCTTGAAAGAATGGAATGTGAGCAGTTCAATGTAGCAACAACGCGCATTTGGTTACCCAACGTTTCCAAGAACTGCCTCCCTCCTTCCCTTCCAAAATAATGTACACTCTCAGTGTGTAATTTGCTATGAAGTATTAAGAGACTGCAATGAGACATAATCGTCTTGAAAGACATTTGTCATCCAAACATAACTAAGGATAAACTTAAGGACAAACCAAAGGAATTTTTTGCTACAAAATTTGAAATTTTAAAACGCACGAAGATGGATAGTACTGGTTCTACTGCTTCTACTGATATTATTCTTGGAATGCAGAGTAAGCGAAAGTTATCTTAAATACCTATTTCTGACAACACTGTGAAACGCCGCATTGGTGATATGGCAGAAGACATACAAAACCAGGTAGTTGATGCAGTAAAACAATCTAGTTGCTCGAGCTATTCTTTTCTACAGAGTTGGAGACAACGACAAAAACTAATGAAGTTACGAAAGCAGTGTCAGACTTTTGTGACAAACATGAACTTCTGTTGGCAAAAACTGATCGGCGTATGTACGGATGGCGCGCTTATAATGCTTGGTTCTTGCTCAGGCCTTGTGCAATTAGTAACGGAGAAAAATGCTGATGTGACTGGAATACATTGTTTTATAAATCGAGAAGCCTTATACTTCGGCAGTAAAAATCCTTATAAATGAACTCAATGCTGCCTTAAAGTTGTGTATTAAAGTAGTGAATTACATAAAAAAACACTGCGTTGAATATTCGACTGTTTAAAACTCTTTGTGCAGATTTCTCTCAACAGGAAACATGTTGTCAAGATTATTTGACCTTTGAAATGAAGTAATCACCTTATTGGAACATCACAAGTAAAATAAACTAAGCGTGGCCTTAAAAAATGAAATGTACTAAAGTAATATTGGCTTGAGAAAAGGCAGCAAATATTTGATTTCACGCAAACAAATCCTATGTATCTCTTGATACGTATTTTGACCTAATAGGTCTCGTCACAAGAGCTATTCATAGGGCTTCTCAACGTGAAAACTCAATATTTTCTGCCTTTTAAGAAGCAACAATAACATGGCTTCAATACGGACGCACTAGCGACATCTAATTAAACAATCGTAAAATAGTTTCGAAACACAATTCAGATTTCTGCTTTATAATCTGAGCCTTCTAAGAATTGCAAGGCAAACAGACGTTGATAAAAGATGTTAAAAGAGATATGGGGAATCTAAAATTTGCATTCCACTACATGTCTTTTACAACTAAGCAGAAATCCTTAGCGAATTGTGCTTCTAGTACTCACACAGAGTAAATCCGAATAAAATGAGAAAAGGAGCAAATATTTGATTTCATGCAAACAAATCATATGTTTCTCTTGATACGTATTTCGACCTAATAGGTCTCGTCAGAAGATCTATTCATAGGGGTTCTCAACGTGAAAAATCTTCTACGAAATAAACGCCTAGTTTGTTTTCAGAATTTTTTTTTATACGGGCGGCATAAAGAACATGGTAAATCGCTAAAATCGTTGTACTGAGCTAGAAGGAGATTATATCTAATAAAATAAAAGAGTTTTCTGGAAAAACATTTTTTTATTTCAAAGGAGGTTATTTATTCGACCACCTAGTACTGTATTGTATTATATCGCATTCTTCTTTATGGATTCCGTAAATTACCCTTAGTACATTCGAATTTATTGGTCTAAATAAAAGAATAGGATAGGTAAATCTTTTTAACACTACATCCAAATATTTTATTTTAGAATCTTTTAATAAATCAAGGTTTAATATTTTTGTTATACATTGTTACATTATTACTTTGTATTTTTTTTTTTCAGGTAAAGTAAATATCTCTTTGGAGATTTTAAAAGAAACAGAAAGTGTTAGCTTACACTCAAAGGGGCTAAATATTGCAAATGTAAAGGTTGCCTCCCAGCCGGGAACATTTACCATAGAAAAGACATACGATTTACTGAACATCAAGAGAAAAGATAATTCTAAATTTATACCTGGATTTGATAATGTTGAAATTGAGTTTGATGGTGATATGAAAAACAGAATTGTGGGGTTATATACCAGTAGCTACACAACCTCATCAGGAGAGAAAAGGTAAGTCTATGTATGTGAAGGTTTTGGGAATTTTTGCGCTGGAACTTTTTTTAGTTTTCGGCCTTCCGTTGATGTGGGAATAGAAATAAAATCTTTATAGCTATACTAATTTTATATTTACAGATAAAATCCTAATAAGCATCTAATAATAAAAAAATCGTAATAAGCATCTGCAATTTAGTTAACTACCAATTTTTTCTGAATAACCTGTTATTTATTCCTTGATATTGTCAATATATAGCCCAGTTAAATAAAATTTTAATACACATAAAGCATTTGAGGTGGTTAACGTTATGAATCCTCATTATAGGCTTTCGGACCTTTAAGGTATGATGCCCCCTTTTTTGGTGTGGGGGTTCTGGATTGTAACATTAAGAGTAAGTGAAGAGGAGGTGGAAAGATGTGGTAGAAGCTGGGCTTTAGGTTGATTTTTGCTCGCTGCCTTGCTTAGGTGATATATTTATTTTTGCTGTTTATTTATGATACTTGCATTAGTTTATATATTTCCTTGTTTGCTGGAGAAGACAAATATATTACCATTTAATGTCTATATCGTTCCATGAAGTTACTATTTAGACAGTTCTAGGGAGTGTTAGGAACGGCTCTTTGATCAGCGTTTGTGGCTAGAGCAGGCTATGGCCTGCGATATTTCTTTGGGATGGATTCTAATATTTTCCAGTACTCACCAGGAAGTTCGTTGCCTGCTATGTTTAGAAGCCTAGCTGGCGGGAATGCCAGCTAGGCTTCTAAACATAGCAGGAATGGAAACTTTTGTTTTTGAAATTTTTAGTACGTGACCTCGTGAGTGGCAAGGTTTTTTGAGAACCTTTGCTCTGTTGTTCGAGCCGTTTATTGTGGAAAGACTGTATCTCTTACTTAGATTCAATATCACATCTTGGACAGAGTCTACCTTTGCTATTTGATGGGTTAACACTGACGGATAGTCATATATTTTACACATGATTTTCCTTTCAGTGGCCATGACTTGATTTAGTTGTCTTTTGTTTAGTAGAGTGTAGATTTTCGCTCTGTATTTGATAATTGGCATTAAAAAATTTTTATACGTGTGTAGGAGAGTAACTTGACTGGTGTTTCCGAATTTGCCACTTGGTGCTGTTAGGAGTTTGGCTCTGTTTCTTACCCTGTTCAAGGTGTTTCTAAGATCAGCGTTTCAGCTGAGTGTCTACACTCCTACTGCGTTGTAAATTCTATACCCAAGTAAGAAACTGACGGTCTGAAATGGAGTCTTTCTCCGTTGAGAACTATGTGGTTTCGTAGTTCTAGATTCAATCGAGAGTATTTAAGATTACTGAATAGGATCAGTTGTGTTTTGGATGGATTTAGTGTTACTCTCCATTTGTTGCACCATTCGACTAGTTTGTCGAGTTATGCTTGTGCTCTATCGAACATAGAGCGGCCTCTTCCATCTACCCTGGAAGGGTCTGAAGAAAGTAGGGCCGTGTTGTCAGCGAATAGCAGGATACTCTCAGACGAATTCTGGCGGTTGGAAGGTCGTTATTATAGACTGTATCTAGTATCGGCGCGATTATTGAGCCCTGAGGTACTCCTGTCAGAGGAGTGAATGAGTTAAATAATTGATTTTCGACTTTGACTTTTATAGTCCGAGCATAAAGGTAAGATTGGATTATTCTCAGGAATGGACTGGGCACTGCGGCTTGGTCAAATATCTTGTATCAGTATTGCATATCAGACCTGATTGAACGCCTTTTGCACATCTAAAAAGATGCCAATAGTTTGCCTATTGTGCTCATTAAAGGATTCAATGCACATTTTCGTCTGTGACGACTGGAGTATTTTATTTGCATATAAATATATAAGCCACAATTTATGAATGAAAATTACCACGGAAATCAAAACGTCAAAAAACAGTTAAATATGTCATTTTCATTACATTAGATTGATAATAAAATTAAATTTTAGAAAACAAAAATAAAAGCGCAACGTATATTTTAGAAGTTTCAATGCATCGAACAACATTTTTTGGATATGCTAATTACAGAAAATATTTTATAACGTAATGAAAACTATTAATTAAACAGAATAATAATAAATTTTTAAAAAACGCATAAAATATGTAATATTAACAAAAAAAAACCTTTATTTTTAATGACATCCACAATTCTTCGAGGTATAGTTTTTACCAAGTTCTGACAAAATTCTAATGTAAATGAATCCCATATTTCTTGCTATTTTTCCTTTAATTTGTTGACGTACCTGGCAGGGTGTTTTCTCAAAGCTTTTTTCATTTCGCGCCACAAAGTCTCTATCAGAGACAAGTCGGGGCAGTTAGAAACCCATTCCAGAAGTGGTGTGCCATGGTCTTCAATCCATTTTAAATTCTTTTTTGAGGTATAACAACCGTCGCCGTCCTGTTGGAAGACAAAATCTTCCGCTGATGTTAATCGGTACTCCATAATCGGTAAAAGAGATTCCTCTAAAATAGTCAAATATTTGTGCGTGTTGACAATGCCATCGATAAAATATAACTTTCCCACACCTTTAGACAACATGCTGTCCCAGCTCATGACAGATGCAAGAAATTTGACTTTTCTCTTCAGACCGTCCAGATGGAAAGCTTCATTTTCCTAAGAATGGCGAGATTCCTACTATCTCCAATAGACACTTCAAATCTGGACCCATTACTCCATTGTATTGAATCCCATTGCGACTGAGTCTAATCTTTATGCTCTTTTGACCATCTTAGTCTATTTTTCTTTTGTTGTAATGTTTTTTTTTTTTCATGGCCTTGGCATAGACAATTGACCAGGCTATTGTTGTAATGTTAAAAGTGGCTTTTCCTTATCCTAAAATAAAATGCAATTCATTAAAAATAATTCGTACTAATTTTTTCAACTATAAAACTTACTTTGTAATTGCCAAATCCTAATTTGTGGGCCTCTCGGTAATATGTTGATCTAGAAACGTGTCTTCCAATAACATCACTCCAACCTAACTTAATATAATTTGCTCGTCGATTTTTCACTATAATGCATCTTAATGCTCTTCGATCTGTTTCAGTTAGTTTACTTTATTTTTTACATTTCTAGGTTTTCTGACGACCGATCCTGTAGTTTTTGTATCTTCTGACACTATTTCTATATTCAATATTTCTTACACTATAGCGTGACAATTGCAACATATTCGCTTTCCGAATTGGATTTTCCAGAATTAAAAAATCTAATAATGAATGAACAAATTTTCTCATTTACCTCGACCCATTGTACAACCCACAAACGGCAAAAAGCTTTACAATACGACAAATAGATTTGACATTAACTAGCAATATTGATCTCATTTTTCCATAGCTACCTCTGGATTTAACGTAATTATGACAAAATCGACGTATGTTGACATAAGTGAATACATAGCCAGGGCTTAGTGATTTTTTTTATTATTGAAAATAAATAAAAACCCGGAAGGGTAATGTTTTTAATAAATATTAATAAAAATGCCATATTAATTTATGAGAACTTATAAAAACATGCAGAGTATAAAAATTCCATACTAATTCGACTTAAAGTGTAAATTCCATAGGTGGGCCAACTGATATGCGAAGGGGCTCGGAAACATAATATTGAAAATATTACTATTTGTATGGTGTATTTTACTCATACCATTTTTCAAAGTAAAACACTTGCACGTCACGATTTATACAAAGTGACGTCACTTGTATTTAAAATTTCCAGAACATCAACCTTATAGTTCAAATTTTCCTAACACAGCTAATATTACGAAACCAATACGGAACTGCTCGATCTTTCATAGGCGCCAACATGGTGTAATAATCCATTATATTGGAAATTTTAGAATTATATTGATTAAATAACCAAAAACATTTATTATTATTAATAATATAAATTTTATAAAATATTTCTTGAAGTCTAATATTCCACAAAATAATATTTTTAATTAAATATATTAGACAATTGTACGCAACTGATACGGAAATATATCAAATAATATTGACAGTTCAGCGAATGGTAAAAGTGTATTAAGTGTTGCCGCTTTTTTAGAGTAGAAATGTTGTTTATGTTTTGACGTCTTACACAATTTGATCATAATATAATATATAATAATACATTGTATTTATAAATGCATTTTAAATTTAGATTTAGCTTTAAAAACTAATTATTGTTGTGTATTGTGATTGTGATATGCCAAAATAAATAAAAGTCTGTAGTAAGCTTTCATATAAGATAGATTATTTTGAACTAGAAATAAAGGCGGGACGTTTTTGTCCCTAAGCAGAGCCCTAAAAGAGGTAAGTTTAGAATAAGTTTAGAATAAGAAATTTAGAATAAGTATATAATTTTGTATTAAAATGGTTCCTTATGTATTTTAATGTGTTGCAGTAGTCTTAAAACTAAGTGTATTTACTGTTAATATAATAGTTTGACAAATAGTTGACATTTTTAAAATTCCTCACTTACTAACTATTCTGATGTTTTGGCAACGCTGTGGGGTTCTGAAGACGTAAATTCTTGAATGACGTGCAAGCTTTTTTATCTGAAAAATGCTATACATGTAATTATCCGAAATTACTGTTAAATGGGGACGTTCCAGAATTCTATTTGATCTTTCGGTACCCTGTTTTGTCGGTCTATTTGTCCTTTGTGTTTGACGGTTTTAAATACATGTTTAAGTATCTAATTTTGTTTTGGTACATCAATATATATTGATGAATTAAAGTATATTTTACAGGTTGAAACCTATTATTTTTATTCCTTTTTAGGAATATTATTAATTTAAATATGTTAACAACATACATTCACCTACTTATATTTGTTTATTGTTGGCTTTTCACGGTCACAGAGTATTGCCAAAATTTTCAAAGGAAATTAATCGATAAATGTGGTTAAATAAGGTATCCGGTTAGTTGAACTAACCTTTGTCAATTAGCACCGTGTTAAATTATGTGTGAAGTTTAAATAAGTAACATATTTTTTTCTGGTTTTATTCAAATATAATTGAGAAAATTT